TGTGAACTTGCAGCTGTCTGCTGACCCATAGGAAAAGAGAAAAAAATCACATACCTTTGTAAAGTCGATGCTAAATCCACCTTGACAAAATCCCTGTCCATCTGCATCGATAGTTGCTACCAAAGAAAGAAATKACAGAAAAGAAAGAGGAGAAAAATAAATAAATTATTAACCAGTACTCAATGAGTTGATTCTGTGGACACTTTYCAGTGCATCTTCCCATGTAAACCTGCACTCCTAAACTTGAACCTTGGAATACTTTCCTCCTAAATTGGTATTTTCTCTCTATCAACAACTCACAACCAAATGCTGTAACAATTTTAGGGTTGGCCTAATAGACTTGAAATATTAACATGTTCTGGCCTAGCATAGTCAAAGCAAACAGCAACCCCATATTCCTTTGTATTTAATCTTCAAAAGTCTCAGGGAAACATATTTGCAATTTCTATTCAGGAAATAAGGTATGTGGAAAAGAGGGAATAAGTTTTTCTTTTGGTATGGAATAGAAAGGTGAATTGGCTTAAAACAAAAAGAGTATACCTGGCTGAAAAAAATAATCCCTCCATTCTCTGACTCATCCCAGCAAGAATTGTTATGTCTGAATCAATTCTAGGATTATACAGCTGCAGAGTAGAAATGCTGAGWCCTCCTTATCTGAAAGTGTGACAACTGAGCTGGCATGGTTTAGTTTAATATTTGTTAATTTAACTCCTTGTTATGCTGGACCATGCTGGATTTTATTCCTGCTGCTCACAAATGATTTTCAGCAAATAAAAAGACAATTTCAACATTCAAGTTTTAGGTTTCTGTATTTTAGAAAAGGTTATAAACCTCTGAATTATCTATCAGCCCAACTACAGGAAATAAATGCAAAGCATTTGGAAAACAAAACTCCAAATATTCAGCTGTTGATACCATGTAAACAATGCATCACTACACGTGTACGTGCACAGAGGGATCAGAACCTACTTCTGCAAAACCTTGTCTTCTAAAATGAACTTGCACTTTAAAGTACTTGAATAACAATAAAATACTTGAGAAGCACAAAAATTCTAGAGCTGGTCCCTGAAAAAGGACTTGCTCCATAATTTTGCTCGAGTGATTACTGCAGAATTGATCCCTTTAACAACAGAAATCCTCAAGTTCAATTGAGGTCCAGTTGAGCTGGAGCTAAGATAGTAGTTAGATCTAAGTAGAGAAAGCAAGGTATGCACCTTGAACATCAGCTGGAGGGGAATTCAGATGTCTGGATCCAGCTTAGGTTTATTCTGATTGCTGCACGTGGAAGGGGAAAATTAAATTTTATTCTAATTGCTGCACATGGAAGGGGGAAATAATTGTGAAACATCCTGCACCCAAATGCAAACAGAGGAGCTCCAAACAGCCAAGCAGCCCAAGTGCTCTGTACTTACTTGACCTGCAGGGAGCATATTCCACAAATTTGGACCCAGCCAGCAGGTAACATGTTCCCACAGGCTCTCTCTCCTGTTTGGTTTCAGTTCTCCAGTGGTACAATGGGGCACAGGCCTAAGGAGGGACACACAGCAGTGAGGAGACAAACTCCTCTTCAGAATGCTGAATAATAGCATGTAGAATAATACAATGAAATTCCAAATTTCTACAGAAAAACAAGAAAAAAAAAAAACCTGACAGATGTACCGTGGGTTATTAGAGGAGATTTATACTATCAGCACCAGAACAGAATTACCACCAGTTTGTATTTTATAAATAGCTTATTTATATCAAGAATTTTAGAATTAGTGTTTTCTTAAAGCAACGGCTATAAAGTATTCATGAAGAATTTATAACACATTGAAGCTTCATCAAACTAGTTCTACTACTTTCCTTAAAAGTAGACAAAAAACGCTCCTTTGTTTATAAAGAGTTTAAGCAAAGCCTAGCTAGGAAATTCTAAAAAAAAAACCCTTCAAATCATGCTGGTTATTGGGATTTTGTTTAAATTCTAAGYTATCTGGATCTCTTTGCATTTTCTTCCACTGCAGTATCTCAGTGCTGAAGCATCTGAAAGGCGTCAAAAACCTACCAGAATTTTATCATTTTGGGATCTCACTGAGGCTCCAAACCACTGATGAGACTTAAATTCCAGMGGATCATCAGGAGCAAAGTCTCTGTTGCCTACAAAGAAAATGAAAAAGAAGCATAATTTCACAGCAATCTGTACAGTAAAAAGGAAAAAAAAAACCAAAACTCTCTAAGTCTGGTTTTTATGCATACAGAGAAAACCAGGAAACAGTAACATTAGAGGGTATCACCCTTTGATGGAAACAGGCTGTAAAAAGGATTTATTATTATTTTTTGTACCAAGGGCCAAAAACAGCTATTTTTGCACACAGAGCATGGGTGCAATGCTGATGAATTGTAAGAGCACAGAGTTTCCAGCATCTTTGACAGCCCCACAGTAAATACTTCACAGCTGAGATATTTGACTTCCAAGCAGATGACAGCTCTCCTCAAAAGCCGCATTAGACCAATGTTTCCACAAGAAATATTGCCTCGATCAAATAATGTGAGCTTTGGCTTGAATCAGGACTGAAATCCTTCTGTTCCACCRAGGGATAACATCTCTATACCGAGTGTCACTGCAATGCACAAAGCAGGCAACTTGCAAGCCTGAAAGCTACGGGCAAAGAGAGCAAATTAAAGATGGAATCATCTCATTGGTGTCTGGTCGGTGGTGCTGGCTGGTAGAAACAACTGAACAAGTGGTAATTTCTGCAGGTGTGAATGTTGAAAGTCACAAAATCACTGTGTGTTCCTTGTGAACTTCCATTGGCCAAACCAGGGAAACTTTGCCAGCATAATAAGAAATTAATACAACACTTTGAAAAATGTGTCTTTTGGAAAAGTTCCTTGAATGGTTGGTTTAGAGAGCCTAAAGCTRCAGGAATCCATGAGGTCAACAGCCACACATGGCTTGCTGAGTGCCAGGGGGATCCCCAAACCCAACCCCACTGTGAATCACAGAGCTGTGGCCACTTGAATGAAAACTTCTTGGCTTGTTTTACACTCTGTAAAGAATGTTTTGTCTGCAGAGATTGTGTTAYTTCCTTTAGGAAAGTCCCATGAAAAAGACAAAAGAGATCCTAATCTGCCGAGTCAGCCCAAACAAGCAATCTGGGCTATTTCTGCTCTCAGATTAGAACTACAGAAAAACCAATGCCAAGCACATTGCAACACAGAGAACTATTGTGGTTTGTTCTGATGCCATCAAAGGTGATTAAAGCCCCCACCTCCTTGTGTCACCTCCCCTCCATCTCTAACTGGACTGGTGCCAAAACCATGGAGGGTCTGATGAGCAGCACATCTGCACAGATTCATGTACATTGATCCTTTACAGTGGAGTTTAGACACCTGCATGCCACCTTTTAATGGTACAAAAAGCCAAAATCACATTGAGATCATTTCCAAACAGGAACCTGTCTTTAGCATGCACAGAAATCTCTGTTTTATCACTGTTTTTTTGTGTTCCTGGCCTTTAATTCATGACAACCCACCCATAGACAACTTTGCTCAAAGGATGCAGTTCAGTTTCAGATGAAGCTGCCACCAAAAGGGGCAGCAGTTCCMATTTGCTCCTGCCCACATGTTCATTCCTGCTGCCCATCTCTGTCTTGGCACTGCTCACACAGTCACAAACATGAACCACCTAAGAATGAACTCTCCTAAAAAAGCATTCAGCAGGATGAGGGTCCAACCCTGCYGGCTGCATGGSAARGGAGTAGTGCTAAGCTTCTGAAGAMAAGACAGGAGCACAAGGCTGGGATCTGTATCCTTTTTGGCTCCACCAGGAATTGGAAAGTGGTTAATTCATCTTGTAACCACACCCAGGGTTAYGTAGCCTGGAAAGGCAGATTTGGCTTCTGCCCTCTACTTGTACAGCTACTCTTGAGGATAAAGAAATGTCTCAGCTCTACTTGCCAAACAAAGCTTTAAACAATGTAAAACTTGGGAATAGTTACAGAGTGGCATTTTATACTTTTCYCTGCTGTTGGATACTCACACAACGYTAYATATCTATGRCAAAAATGAAAGCTGGTATAGCAATTCTGYAGTGTAAAGCAGAATCCTGTTGTCCTGGGTACTGTGAAGGTGTCTAGGATCCAAACTTCCCATTCAAGTTTAAAACAGCAGGCTGGAAGCTGAAAGAAAGGTTGTGTTGCAACAGCAAGTRAGCAGCCATGCTGCATTATCAGCAACCTGATTTTATCTCAGCCTTTAAGAAGATTCCTTCTTTCAAGCCTGGGCTGAATACATCAGGTGAGGCAGTGTGAAGCAATAATAAAAATTAGAATTAAAAAAACCCCAAGGGCTGCCACCTGTCCATGGTCTGTGCTGGCTGCACTGGAGAAGAGGGGAGCCAGCAGAATCACCAGCACCCTCTGCTTTTTCCCTGGGCACTCCTGAGCTGTCAAAAATTATCAACATCCAGGACAGCATCTCTCCTTAGTATCTCCCAAAAAATACTTTTCTACTCTATTAAAAAGCCCTGTTTCAGCTCTAAATTGAGAGTTCTATCAGAAATCTCTGCGCTTTCAGATATATCCAGAAGCTGGCTTATAAAAACCCCAAATCTCCARACCGGAAAGCAAACGAACATGACCACAAAGATAATCATGTGCCAAATGCAGTTCGTGTGCCAGATGTCATGACTTCAGAAGCCAGCATCATAATTTCTGGAGGCCTGAACAACAAATGAAGAATTCTTACAAAACCCCACCACCCCGCAGAAAAATGTGTTCCATTAGACAATCTGGCAAAATGGATTTTATTTATTTATAGCACGCTGCTATTGTAAAAATACATTGCAAACATCTCAGTCAAATTGTCCCATGTCAGAGGAGATGCACACACCAAACCAAGATGTGCTACCAGGCTAAGATGGTTTACAATGAGATTATCTTGTATTCAAAGCTTCTTTAGGTTCTGTAAAGCCAAGTGGGGGGGTCTTAGGGAGGGGATCTCCTGTTCAGCTTGAAACTGGCTGTAATGCTGGAAAGTGCATGAGGACAGATCTAAACCAAGTAGAACTTGGAATCACTGACAAATGCCTCAGATAAAAATTGATACAGGCCAAGTCTGATGTTAAACCC